AGCGCATCCACCGCCACCAGTTTGACCACCGTCACTCCAGCATCATCAGTGGCGTATGCCTGACGGGCAGTTCTGTTCGAAGACGGCTGCTCAGCTAGGTGATTAACTTCAGGACCAGATATCTTTGGCTGTTCTCTGGCAGAACGTGATATCAGTGTTAACCTGACGTTTCACGTGGTTCACATAGTTGTAAACCATTGGTAGAGTGAGGCAAACCGACAGCACAGCGACCACCGAGAATGTGACTGCAGCATAGGAGACGAAACGATAGGCTTTGATACGCTGTTCAATGTCCATTTTAGAGGAACTGTGAGAAGCACAACTCCTCACGGCTTTTATAGGACGACAAATTGGATCGCTTATACGTCACTCTTGTCGTTGCATGAAACCCGCGCGATCAAGTTCGTAAACACAATTTAGCATGTTTTTTCGGAGATTACACCCAAGATTTGGTAGGTAGCCGTCTGGCGATGTCAGCCACCACCGTAATCGTAATCCTATAGTTGTCCAATTAATGCGTACTACAAAGGTGAATTTTTATTTTCACAACTCCAGTAACAAAGAAGACGCCAAGATATGAATTTATAGAACTAAACAAAGAACAAAATATAACAATAACAGCAAGATTTCAAGGAAATTAACAACTATCTTCAAGAGATCGCAAATTAAACAGTGAAGAAAAGGCACTACAAGAAATATTGCACAAAATATAGAATGCACCAGGAGAAGAAGAGATTCATAATTTATCCTCGAAGTGATCAAAATGCATCTTAGAGGTATCTTTTTGACGATAATAAAAGGAAAAACTTCTACAAGAAATGTACACAAGAGAAACACAAAATAGTTTTTTTGTCAAATGTACAAGAGCGTTCGTATTGCCGAAAACCAACGGCTACGTATAAGTTAGCCTAAAAAGACAGGTGTGAAATCTTAAACCATATCTCTGGCAATTGTCTTACCTTCATATCTGGATAAAAGGACCATTGTCGAAGACAAGCTTCTCAAGCGAGTCGATGAAATCCTAAATTACAATGTTTTATATTTGCACTCGTTTCTAACAAACTGCGTGCATAGCCGTTTTGTGCTGGCGAGTACGGATAGAAGCGCATTCGCTGCACCCTTTACGCTCGTGAAGATTTTTCAGGGTTCCTCGAACGCTGTTTTTTATCGGAGCTATTCCACTTTTTTGTTTTTCATTAATCTTTGTACTAATCCATAATTACATTTCTCACTTAATGTATATCAAAAATTCTAAAGATAATAGATTATAGCATTTTTTGCAGTGACTATTTCTGTCCGAAATGTTTGTAAAAAAAAACGAGGTTTTCTGTTCAATCAGGTGTTGTGAATGTTTTTGCGTTAACCTTCTCCAACAAACCATGGATGATGTGCTCTATTAGGGAAACCTCTTTCTGATTGGAACGGAAGTTTTTACAGGCGTATTATGAGCAACTCTTTCTCCGGCACTCAAAATCGACAGGAAATAAAAAGAAAAATCGTGAGCCACCATGTGGCGCATGCGGCCGCACGGGGCAGCCAAGTGATGGAAAAAGCGGTATGTAGTATATGGGTAACCTAAGTCAGTTTTACTGTATTTTCCAAGTTTAGATAACTTGTGAGTAATATCACGGATTGAGATAGGGCCGCGTGCAAGTCGTAAAAGTGCATGCAGGTGCAGACTTGTATCCCTAGGTGTAACCTTAGGTACTTGAGATTTTCTCCTACGTAAACCCAAGCCAACGCACCCGATCTTACGTGTCGATCGGTCTTGTAATCGAGCTGAGACCTCGGTCAGACTCGGCGATTGCGTCGCTGTAACCAGCGACGGAGTCGCCGCCGGCGACGGAGCCGCCCGGCACAAGAGTGGCAGCAACGGGCGATGACTCATCAGCACACGATCGATATCGGTTGCAGGGGGGGAGATTAATCATCCTCACCCATCGTTCATGTTGCTCCCCCTGCCAACCGATATCGATCGTGTGCTGATGGGCATCGCCCGTTGCTGCCACTCTTGTGCCGGGCGGGCTCTGTCGCGCATTCTGCCAGCGACGGAGTCGCTGAGTGTCAGCGACGCACACTAGTCTGACGGAGGCTACTGTCAGTCAGTCTGGAAATTGACGATAAGACGATAGCAGAATTGAATTATGATTAACTCTACGTGCTAGAGGGCTCCCCCTGACTCCGAAGCGTCGCCCGATGCGAGCTTCGTTCTCTTCACACCAGTTGAAGAGTGGATCTTTCCCCGTGTGGAAAGCAGTTGTGCAGTAGTTCGTACAAGACGACTACAGATGCACGTTGGCCTAAGCGTGGCTCACGCGATGGTCGCCCTTCTGTGTTCAGAAGGAAGTGTACGTTTGAACATCCTCGGCGAGAAGATGTTCAATGTACAAGATGGCAGGTACCGCGGAGCAGTCCCTGCTTCCCATGGCTTGGATTTGAAGCTAGAACTACAGCAGAGATTTAGACCTATTTGTGTGCATTTATTTGATGTGGTTCTTGACCAATTCATTTTGTATATAGATGCAAATAAATGGTTAGTTACGAATAGTGCGTTGTGTTTTGTAATTGGGTACGGTCAAGCGTCACAGCTGTTACTTAACACCCTCTACTGTCACGAAACTTGGAGCTCTTGCGCGGTTCCAACAGTGTAGCGCAATTTTTTTAGACAGTCACGGATGGTACGAAGTTATTACGAAGTGCTGAATTCACTCGAAGACTGTAATTAGACCCATCCTTTTCTAGGATTTTCATCATCAGTGCGAGCGCTCCCAGCACAGACCCATGTTACGCCAAATCAGAACCTCCATAAAAAGCGCTAGGGGAGATAGGAATGAAAGGCAGAAAACAACCGGCACATCACGCACCTGATAATTAATCTTTTAGACAATTCACTTCACTATTTGAGGCAAGGCTGATTTCACTAGCGCTAAGGAATGTAACGTCATTGTTATGGAATGCCCAAGTACGATATTCGAGAAAGACATTCTCAAAATTCAAACAGTGACCCAACTGTTTCCTACTCCAAATTGTATAACTACCAGAACTTTCTTAAATAATACTCGTAAAATGGAGCCACAACAGTTGCATTTGATAGATAGCATCTAAGAAAAGCTTTCCCGGAAACCACTTTTCCTTTTGCTCTTTTGCCAAGAAGTCAGCGACCGGGTTTCGATACTCCCTCGTGGTTTGCGCGATTGATATCGAAAGAGAAGAACTACAAACGGATGACTGATGGGAAACGCTTTCACTTTGCAACAAACGGGAGAAGGAAAACTGAAAGCGCTGTAATCATAAAGAGTCTGAGTGGCACCTCATATCGTAACAAGAAATTGTAACGGAGTACGAATCCTCTTAGACATTTAATGCAAAATTGAACCTTCATAGCTACTTGTCGCAAGACCGACGACGGCACAAGCTCAGATCTTTGATGCTGCGGCTCAGAGCCCTTGTATCGCACCATGTACATGAGTTCATCTCCATCCTTATTCACCCCATGAATAGCTTCGATCTTTCTGCCGCGCTCGATCATGTATCTCCTTGTGACACCTGAAAACTCCGATTTCTTTTCCACAAAAAAAAATTCAAAGTAGATTTCAAAATAACTCAAACTCACCGTGTTTGACCAGGGGTACCTTTATGCGCCCTACATTGCGAGCGGATCTCCTCTCGTCATCTGCCTTCTGAAAACATGGTTTGAGTAACATAAGACAGAAACACTTCGTCTGGGCGCACACAACATTACACTGATCCTGTAAAGGCGCCTGTCATTATTCCACATTACCTAGTCGAACTACACTGCACTATCATGCCGAGATTAATAAAGTCGTTCGTGGAATATCCTAGTCGAACTGTTCCTTTGGAGCTATTGCTCGTCATAAGGAAATAGAAATGGAGTGACTCTATGGTGATCGTTAACACAGCTTTTTATTTTTATAACAGCCTTGATTAGAATATACAAGATGGGCCAAGCTACTCAATTGGTAGCCCAAGAATTAAAGCATAGAAGGATTACACTCAGCTGTACGCAGCAGTTTGAGAGGAGCGCAGTTTATAGTCATTTAACTTTTTTTACTCTTTTGCGCTAACAGCGAGCTCTGAGGGATTTTTTTTGGAATGTTCACGCCACGTATTCTCCTAAATGCTTGGTCGAAATTGACAGAAATTCGTCTCAATTTCATATACCCTCTCCTTCAAATGACCAGAAATTGTGCAATTGCAGAAATTGACGTGGCATTGGCACACGTGGCTAAATTCTCGATGAAAAGGTGACATCACGTGTGCTCAAAGATGTTCTTGAATCGATGCCACGTGCCACGTCAATTTCTGCAATTGCACAATTTCTGGTCATTTGAAGGCGAGGGTACTACGTATAGCATCCAAAACAACGAAGTTATCG